TGACCTATGAAGGTTGAATTTATAATAAGTGAAAAAGTCAACGTGGCCCTACTATAGTGATGTGGTTTCCAGATTTCACATAGTTCAGATGTCAGCTCTTCCTCTCACACACAATCAACTCAAGACCTCCAGTAGGACTGACCCTGTGGTGAGCAAGGTGCTGACCTACACCTTATATGGCTGGCCTCAGTTTATCCAAGATGACCTCAAGCCTTACTGGAGGAGGAGACATGAACTGTCTGTGGAGGTGGGTTGTCTGATGTGGGGAAACAGGGTAGTTGTTCCTGCACAGTACAGAGATAGATTAATTGAGGAATTGCATGATTGTCACCCAGGTATTGTAAGAATGAAGGCTCAAGCAAGGAGTTACTTTTGGTGGCCAGGTCTCGATAAAGATATTGAAGAGGTAGTGAGATTTTGTAATGCTTGTACACAGGTGAAGGCGAATCCAGCTCCAGTTACATTACATCCCTGGACCTGGCCATCTAGGCCTTGGAGTAGGGTACATATTGACTTTGCAGGACCTCTCTTTGGAAAAATGTATTTCATTGTGGTTGATGCCTATTCAAAATGGCCAGAGGTATTTGAGATGAAGTCCACTACAACTGCAAAGACTATTGAGGTGCTGCAGAGACTCTTCAATACATAGTGGTTTGCCGGAGCAAACGGTGAGTGACAATGGCCCGCAGTTTAGATCGGAAGAGTTTGCAGAATTTTTGAAAAGACTTGGGCTCAAACACTTTCGGTCTGCTGTGTATCTTCCTGCTACAAATGGTGCCGTGGAGAGGTTTGTCAAGACCTTGAAGACGGCCCTCAAAACAGAATTTGTTGGAGGAGAATCATGGAATGTACTAGGGAGATTTCTATTTAAGTATCGTACCACACCCCATGCAGTTACGGAATCGACTCCCAGTGAATTGTTCCTTGGTCGCAATCTCAGAACCACTTTTGATCTTCTCCAACCAGAGCAAAGGAATAAGGTTGAAGAATAACAGGCCAAACAAAAGCAGTATCATGAAGTGCTAGGATCTAGATCATTGAAAGTCATGTTGTCAGATGGAGAAGAAGTCGTTCGACACCTGGATCAAGTAAAAAGGGCTATTTTGATACTGATAGGCCCAGAGTTTGGTAGAGTAGAACTAGAAGCAAGAGCCACAGAGCAAAGGAGCACTCTCACTGAAATGGAACCAAGAGATGCACCTGAGAATCCTAGCTTACCAACCGGTGACAAGAATCCTAGTGTATTGGAAGAGGAACTGAAGACTCTCTTGGACACCATAATGATGTATCACAGGACTTAGGGGAGCCTGAAAACACTGAAGGAGATGTCCCTCTTGCTGATACAGGGTTCCAGGAGGCTCCTAGTGCTCCAGTTACTACTACTCCACGGTATCCTACTCGAGTGAGGCGTCCACCAGATCGACCCTGGTTTGTGCAAAAGTATTGAGGTGAAGAAATAGCTAAGGGGGAAGGAGTGTAGTGTATTTTGAGTATTATTATTATTATTGTTGTTGTTATTAGTGTTATTATTCATGCTCATTCTTAATATCATTTTATAGTGTTTTGATTCTGTGGTTTACAACATTCCTCTCCTATTTAATTAACTTCCTGTGTTGTGTTGCCTATTTAAGTTGTGTAAACTTCTCTGTTCTTGTCTTTTCATTAATCAAAATAATCATTGTTATTTCTTTCTGTTAAATAATACTTGGAGACATTACACATACAATGTACATGTACTAGAAGAATGTAGAACATTAAAGGGGCGAGCCTAAGCAAGCGATAGATTATGTGCTGTATGATATAAATGTCTCTTATTTCTCTTATGATGCTCTTATTTCTAATCTACGAGACTCTATTACTGACACCTCTTTATTACGCTATCTAGAAGCAGCTAGTGAATCCGGTGCCTCCTCCTGGCTCACTGCTCTACCTATCAAGGAGCACAGTTTTGCCCTCCATAAAGGTGCATTTCATGATGCACTGTGTCTCAGGTATGGCTGGACTCCTCTTTATCTGTCCTCTCATTGTGTCTGTGGTTCAAGCATGTCAATTGAGCATGCTCTCAACTGTAAATGTGGTGGCTTTCCATCTCTGAGACATAATGAACTTCAGGATATAACTGCTGATCTTCTAACAGAGATCTGTCTGGATGTTCAAAGAGAGCCAACACTGCAACCACTATCGGGTGAAACATTCCCTTATGCATCAGCCACCACTGATAACAATGCCATAGCAGATATCGCAGTTTCAAGCTTCTGGTCTTCTAGACAGAGATCCTATCTCAATGTACGTGTCTTTAATCCTTTCTCTAACTCTTACAAGAAGTCTTCAATCATAGCTTGCCACAGGAGAAATGAGAAGGAGAAAAGATGTCTGTACAAAGAGAGGATTTGTAACATTGAGCATGGTTCATTTACTCCTTTAATTTTCACCACCACTGCTGAAAGAATGGGTCCATCTGCCTCTACTTTTTTATAAATACTTGTCATCAAGGCTGTCAATCCGCTACTCCAAAAGCTATTCAAAGATTCTTAACTGGATATGATGCTGCCTTTCATTTTCTCTTTTAAGGAGCTCCATTATGTGTCTCAGAGGTGCATGCTCATCCTACCATCATCCCTGTCACTCCTTCCGATCTCATGAGCAAGCTCTCTCAGATGGGAGGGTTTACTAAACTACATGTACACAAATACTGTATACTATTATGTTCTATTATTTTTCTATCTATTTTTAACTCAGACACTCATACATGTAACATGTATTATGTATACTGTATATGTATTTTTGGAAATAGTTTAGTATTATAATAGTGCTATTATATTTTCTACATGTACATGTAGTACATGTACATAATGTAACAATCATCAGTAGCTTTCAATAGTAACACACATTACTAATTACATGTACATATACCATACGAAACAATACATTCAATTTCTCGTTTTCTTGATAATATTTCCAATACAATAGACCAGAACGTTGGATCCTTCCCAGTGAAGAACCATCCAGCCTTTAGTCCCTGACAAAGAATATCCTCAAACCTTGCACACAACCTTTGAACTGCTCCATAGTCTTTAATCATCTCACCTTCTGTATGTGTGAATAGCAGCTGTGCCTGGAAATAAAACACACACATACAGTGTAACTGGCAGGTAATGTACATGATCATGTATACTATATGTATATTGCATTCTAGGTATACATGTACATGTACATGCATACTGAATGCTTGTACAGTAAGCAACTCTCTCTCTCTTACTATTTTACTTTAAGTTGTTCTTTCATTGCACTCATCATTTTCTTTATTCATAGTATCAATTTCACTTTTAAACTGAAGCATCATCTGAGCCATTCCATCATTAACTTCTTGTCTAAAATAATAACAATAATAAACATGTAATTGTAAAGTAGTTGTAATTGTAAAAATGTAATTGTAATTTTAATCAAAAGCCAAAACTGGGTACTTCATGTACAGTACATGTAAAATACTTGTACATGTACATGTATACTTCATTAAACATTTGGTGATTAGCGTGTTTCAATTTGGCAAATTTATGGCTACATGTACATGTACGTGCCCTTTAAAATACTGTATCTGAACATATGAATGCATGTACATGTACTAACAAGATCCAGTAGCTAGCACATGAGTTCCCCAGGTCTGATTCATTAGTGTGTTAGTGACAGATCGATACCACAGTCAATAAATGCCACCTAACATGACTGGATAGTTGAGACTGGATCCCTTCCTCATTGATATCTTCCTCCTCCTCCTCCTCTAGACTAACAGGAACTGTTAATGATCTCTCCTTATGTAATGAGAGTGTAGCATTGATGGCACCTGTAAACAACAACAACAACAATTATATTAATGATACATACTGGTAAAAAATTTTAGGGTGTAAAATTTATAAGCTGATTCAAGTTTGTATTTTTCATGTATGCACATTCATTAGGTACATGTACTGTGTATCCCTCTAAAAGGTATTGTTTCCACAGGTAAGAAGCTACCAATAAAATCTATGTAATTAAATACCCCACAACTTATGCCCGTATGACTAAAAACAAGTCAACAATAATAATACAATAAGAACAAACAACAACAATAATTACCAACAAAACATTAAATACTTTGTGTTTCTGGTAGTTGGTTTAGTATCAATAAATCATCCAGAGCCACTCCTCCATTATTATGAACAGGTGATGGACTCTCTTTAACCAGTCCCCAGGCAGGCAGTACTAGTGACAGTCCTCCTCCTTTACTCAATAAACCAAATGAGACAGGACAGGATGACCTTACTAATCCTAATGTATCCTGATACTCTCTAAATAACAATGAAAACAAAAATAAACATAATTAATAATAAATAATAAAATTATAATTAAAAATGAAAAACAAGACAAATTTAGAAAATTAAGCGATACATACACAAAAGTACATATGTACATGTACATGTATGTGTCATTTCTAAATTTCACGATCATAGTATATCGATTGACGTATAAATAGAGATGATACCATATAAATATGTACATTCGTGGAGTATTAATATTGGTTGCAGTGAACATCCACTAATATAAAATCTGTTATTGTGTTTTATTTTGAGCTGCTCAATGGCATTTGGCTGCTAAATCACCAAATGACACCAATACATGTGTACATGTACATATGTAAAATCCACCAATTGCAAATTGCCAAATTCAGCTACTGCCAATACTTAAGTTCCACCAGTAAGAAAGACAGATGATACATGTATGGCCCCAGTAACAATACCAACAATACAACAATACATCATTATTCATTATATCATTCTTCAAAACATTGATTATTAGTACCAAACTTGTCCAGTGAGTTGTCAAGGTTCCATGCATGAAGGCATGATACTAGGAGTCTAGGTGAGCTGATGGTTAGAGGGAGAAAGAGAGAGAGAGGAGGGAAACATTGTAATTTGTGCATATACATGTACATGTACACTGCATTTAAAACTTGATATTTACATGTACATGTGTAACTGTCAAAAAATGTAAATGACATTTTTGAAGTAAAAAAGTAAACAACATTAAAACCAAAAAAATTACAATACTTTTCAACACATTAGTAACTTATATAAGTACATGCACATGTAAGTAGTCAATATATGAAAATTTAGATACACATGTATTTCAGTGACAATAATTACATGTACATGAATATTAATTACTATACACTTAATGGGCACTACATGTTGGTATTACATGTACTACAAATACATGTACACGTATTAGCAATGGAATGCTTTGGTGTGAGAGAGAAAGAGTAAGAAAGAGTGAGGGGGAAAGCAAAGCTTACATTAATATGAGGAGGACATGCTACAATGCTACTGAGCACCCCACCATGAACTGCAATAGTGCGGAACAATATTCCTTTGAAGAGGTCCCACAATCTAGCAGAGAAATCAGGACCACCAGATAACAAGTGATTGGTATCATAAGGAGTGCTATAGTCACAGGATACAACAGGAGGGGACTCCCCTCTTGTGACCTATTAAGAAATAATACTGAGGCCATGCTATAGAGGAGTGAAAGAGAGAGAGAGAGAGGCAACAGAAGCACTGAGAAAAAACAGAGCTGATATATACATGTACAGGTAGACTACAGGCATGATAAACACTTGGTATTACTATTTCTACAGAAAAATATCCTATTCATATTGCATTTAATTACATTGTACATGTACATTAATTATTGTACATTTGTATGCAGAGTACCTCTTGAGAACTTTCTCTTGGCTAGTAAGAGTTTGGTAGCTGCTTGAGCTCCTGGTAGAACTATAATACCACCATTGGACAATCCACAGATCAACCAATCGAATTGTCTCAAAAATAAAGAAACAGTAACATTGGAAATGGACCAGCACTGATACTGGGATACTAATGGAAAGAGAGAGAGAGGAAGAGAGAGATACAGAGGGAGAGAAAAGAAATAATATACATTAAAGACATTAAAATAAAAATAGAATAGAAAGATCATATAACAGAAAAAATGAGAGAGATGGAAGGTTGAAAAAGAGGGTGTATTAGTGGCATATGGATATACAATGTACATGTATTAGTGGCATATGGACATATAATTTACATGTATTAGTGGCATATGGACATGCAATGTACATGTATTAGTGGCATATGGACATACAATGTACATGCATTAGTGGCATATGGACATACAATGTACATGTATTAGTGGCATATAGACATACAATGTGCATGTATTAGTGGCATATGGACATACAATGTACATGTATTAGTGGCATATGGACACACAATGTGCATGTATTAGTGGCATATGGACACGCAATGTACATGTATTAGTGGCATATGGACATACAATGTACATGTATTAGTGGCATATGGACATGCAATGTACATGTATTAGTGGCATATGGACACACAATGTACATGTATTAGTGGCATATGGACATACAATGTACATGTATTAGTGGCATATGGACATACAATGTACATGCATTAGTGGCATATGGACATACAATGTACATGTATTAGTGGCATATGGACATACAATGTACATGCATTAGTGGCATATGGACATACAATGTACATGTATTAGTGGCATATAGACATACAATGTACATGTATTAGTGGCATATGGACATGCAATGTACATGTATTAGTGGCATATGGACACACAATGTACATGTATTAGTGGCATATGGACATACAATGTACATGCATTAGTGGCATATGGACATACAATGTACATGTATTAGTGGCATATGGACATACAATGTACATGTATTAGTGGCATATGGACATACAATGTACATGTATTAGTGGCATATGGACACACAATGTACATGTATTAGTGGCATATGGACACGCAATGTACATGTATTAGTGGCATATGGACATACAATGTACATGTATTAGTGGCATATGGACATGCAATGTACATGTATTAGTGGCATATGGACATACAATGTACATGTATTAGTGGCATATGGACACACAATGTACATGTATTAGTGGCATATGGACACGCAATGTACATGTATTAGTGGCATATGGACATACAATGTACATGTATTAGTGGCATATGGACATGCAATGTACATGTATTAGTGGCATATGGACACACAATGTACATGTATTAGTGGCATATGGACATACAATGTGCATGTATTAGTGGCATATGGACATACAATGTACATGTATTAGTGGCATATGGACACACAATGTACATGTATTAGTGGCATATGGACACGCAATGTACATGTATTAGTGGCATATGGACATACAATGTACATGTATTAGTGGCATATGGACATGCAATGTACATGTATTAGTGGCATATGGACACACAATGTACATGTATTAGTGGCATATGGACATACAATGTACATGCATTAGTGGCATATGGACATACAATGTACATGTATTAGTGGCATATAGACATACAATGTACATGTATTAGTGGCATATGGACATGCAATGTACATGTATTAGTGGCATATGGACATACAATGTACATGTATTAGTGGCATATGGACATACAATGTACATGCATTAGTGGCATATGGACATACAATGTACATGTATTAGTGGCATATGGACATACAATGTACATGTATTAGTGGCATATGGACATACAATGTACATGTATTAGTGGCATATGGACATACAATGTACATGTATTAGTGGCATATGGACATACAATGTACATGTATTAGTGGCATATAGACATACAATGTTTTTTTCCGTCAAGAAAAACACAACAACAAACTAACACAGCATAATACATGTCAGATAAAACACAAAAAATATGTAGTAATAAGTACATGCACAACAAATAATATGTGACCATAATTGACAAAAGGTACCTTATGGTGGGTAGGGAAATTTGTCTTTCTAGCCTAAGAAATCCAACTTCCTGAGCCCCATTTATCATAAAATTACTCCACAGGATGCAAAAAGTTACCACGAAACTTTTAGAAACAATGATTGTCTAACAAAGCACTCACAGGTTGATATTTTCCATTATAACGATCAATTTTAAAATCCGCCATAAGGGCCCTTTTGTTAATTATGGTCACATATGTAATGCACATAT